AAAATTGGTTCCTACTTTGATTTGAAATTCTTCCACTCTTTCATTACATATTGGCATATACATCTATCATATTTATTGCATGCTAATTTCCACATTTACTTGACCAATGTGGTCAACAAAGAAAATGTAATCATGGAAACTTGTAAGTAATTGCAGGGAAGTGATGAACGGAGAGAATGAAAAACTCTTTTGAGTTAGTTTTGACTTCTTTATAAAAGTTCCAACATCGATTTTGCTACTTTTAGGAACAAATAATTTTCCACCAAATGTATTTCTTTTTTTCCAAACTTTGTTTTCCACTTCTTGCCCTCTTGGAAATATATGGTAAGTTAACTTTCTTTATTCTTCTTCAATTTCCATTGAAGTTTGTAAAGAAAGTTTATTAAACACTCTTGAAGGTTTCAATTTGCTAGAATCTAATAGGGTTTTTTAATCCAAATAAAAAGAAGGGACTGAGAATTTGATGAAAAGGTCAAGGGATTAGAACTGGCAAAATTGCATTTCCCAGATGTTTTCACACAAGTAAAGTACCACCGCAGCAAGGACATAACAAATTATCAAGACTTTCTTTTTTTTTTTTTTAATTTTAAGATTTTTTTAATTTTAAGTGGTACAATAAAAAATAACTCTTTGGTATCATTTAATTTACCACATCCACATATCATACAATTAGAATTCAAGATTTTTAAGCTTTACTAAAAAAATTTATTACTAGGTTATTTAGCATGCTGAAAATATTACCGTGACTTCTAATTTGAATTATTAGTCAATATTTTTTGCTTTTTTTTTTTCAAAAAAAAAAAACTTAATTGCTCATTATGACGTCTTATGGGGTGTTATTTTGTTAAAAAATAATAATTGAAGGGAATTATTTTATACAATTTTTTCATACAAGTTTATATGTAATTATTATTTAATAATTAATTTTTTTTATTTTACTAAAAAAAATTATATAATATACATTTACTTATTTAATGACATGTAAAAATTATAAATAAAAATTAGAGAAATTACAGAGATACAAATTTTTTTTTATATTAGAAAATTGTTTAGCAAGATGTTAATGCAAAGAAAATTTCTAGAAACGTCATATTTTAATTAATATTTTTAAAACTCACCATTGGATTAAAACTTCTATATATGTAAATCATGTATATCAATTTTTAAATTGATCTGATATGCTTAATAATTTTTTAATTATACAAAATTTAACATTATTAATATATGTCAATAAATAAAGTCTCTTTGATCAAAAAGTTAAATATGTTAGATCACTGTGAAAATTAACGTAGATGATCTACATTTTCAACTTAGCTGTTGGTTGTAAAAAATATTAATTACTTTCTTGCTTATAAGGCTTCTTTATCAGTGTTGACTATACAGCCAATTGATGTTATGTGATGTCAGTAATTAAATTTAAAATAATTTGTCTAACCTAATTCGTTAGATGGGCAAGTTGTCTCTACATTTAGTTAGATGGTGAATCTATACTTACCTCCATACTCAAGTGTAGATTTGCGGTCCAACCTAATCTGGTTCAACAGTAAGTTTTTAAGAATATTTAGTTTTTGATCAGCCAAATAAAAGTTTTGTATTTGTTTTGAAGTGCATGGGTACTTTTACCCTTTCTTATAGCAATTACATCAAGTTTCAAGTGAGAGACTCTCCATCTACATCATATTTTCTTTCCACCCTAACTACCTCACTGTCTTTGCACAACCCAATGGGTTGCAATTCCAGTCATGTATAGAAAATAGGTTTCCTTTAGATATATAGAAAGTAAGTTTTTAAGAATATTGATTACAAATTAACCAACGACTTAAATAGTTTAGTCTCCTTCCACTAAAAGTAAGAGGTTTTGAGTTCAAATTACATGATATACAAATGAAGTGAGATAAAAGATGGGAGACGATTGCCTCCATTGTACACCCAACATAAAAAAAAGGAGTATTGATTACAAATTGAGCTTTTAGATGTATTCTCAAAAAATTTTTGAGATATACATGAGAAAATTGATATTCCTTCTACTTTCTTAAGAACACCCAATTAGATTTTAGTTATACCACTATCAGCTAAGTCTTTGAGGGTGTTTGGGAGAGCTTAAAAAATAAATTTACTTTATGAAAATTTTTTTGTCACAAATATAAAAATTTGTTAGGCAAAAATTTGAAAATTAACTTTTAAAATAATTTTTTAACAAGTTTTAAAAAAAATTATACATCTAAACTTTATCAAAACTTACTAGAAATTTATTTTAAAAGTTGATTTGTTAATTTTCTTCCAACAATAGGAGAGAAGAATATATTTAAAGCAAACTTACTATATATACTCTAAATAAAGTAGGATTTGCAAAGCTTAAGAGCTTCAAAATGATTTTATTCTTAAAAATATATTTTATCCTTCAAAAAAAAGTTTTTTAAAGGTTAACTGTGAATTCACATTGACTTGAAAGACCTATCTCTCAAAAAGACTAAGGATCTATTCTATACATCAAAGAAATAAAATGTTATAAATAGAAGTCTTTGGTAAGCTACACTTAGATCCATGCTATCATTACTTTTTTTAATTAGCCTCAATTATGGGTCATAAATAGAAGACTAATTAGTTTTTCACAAATCAATCAATTGGGAAAAAAATCTTCATCTTTGAAATCCTAAATTTTACTTGACAGCAAAGTTTGTGGCCGGAAAATTGAGAGAAGACTCAAGTCTTCGGCTCTTAGTAAATCCGACTCATGAGAAAATAACCTCTTGAATTTTTATGCATATATTGTTTTGATTTACTCTAGTTAATAAGACAAAAATTCTCACTCAAAATTGACAAAAAAAAAAAAAACTAATTGAGTGTTGGTTATGGCACCATGATCAAAGTCTTTTAGTGCCGCGGTATTCAAGTTATAAAAAGACTTCATTTTCCTTTTCCCCTTAAGAGGGTTCAACTGATATTAATAAGACCAAGCTTATGATGGATGATGTTTACATATGAACTACCATTCTTAGTCCTTGTGATAATTAAGTAGCTTATGTCTACATCAATGCTTTATATTAATTTTGAATGTCACTAAAAACTTTGCAAGAAACAAACAGATGAGGTTCGGGGCATATCATCCCCAAGAAAATCCAAGCATGAAATGAAAGAGAAGATTTTTGTAAATTGATTTGTCACACGCATGTATAATTTTCTAAATAGAAGCATCACCAATTAAAAGATAGTGTAGTCAGACTAAAGTGCTAGCTTTGAAAGGTCAATGGTAAGGTGATGAGATGATCCCTTATCAAAGATTGAACGATCCAATTCTTTTTAGATGTATTTAACGATGCAACAGATTGAGCTATCATTTCAGTGGCTTGAGTTCGGAATTCTGGACACTTTTTTTTGGCAAAATGTTCATATTGCATGACTGAAACGGTTCTGCACCTCTATATATAACTGTTGTAACTTCCTTCCAAGATCAAGTCTTAAAATGGAGAATAGTATCATTTAGAAACGCACGGAGTTCAGAATCAGAAGCAGTGTTATTGATGGAAACGGAAGTCCTGAATTGTAGCAACGCAGCCGCCTCCTCATTAGAGCAGGGCTGTGTTGCTGAAATGAGAAGCATGTAAAGAGAATGAGAAAGCAAGTTTTAACAATTAGGAAGAAGAAAGGAGGCAGAGAGTGCACAGAGCACTAAATATCAAGTGTTGGATTTTGATATTTTAGGAATGGTATCCAACAGTATGTATCGTTTCAACTTTGGATATATACAGTTACAATACACCAAAAGGATACATCTCTTTAACTTAGCCAATATTCGACCGTGCAAGGCTCGGCTGGATGAAAATTGAAAAGGGTCCGACCACTATGTTCATCTTTCTGCTACTTTCCTACTTCTTAGAAACCCTTATAAAGTATGCAAACTAGAGCAAATAACCAGAAACATTATCAAAAAACAACAGATATCACAACCACACAAGATAGATATTATTTCAAACAAAGATGTATATGAAGTACACGATGAATCATCTTGATGCCATTATCTCCAATACTAAGCGCGAAAATATTAAATCAACCCAGCTAATCTTCGTCATTGTCATGACATGACAAACCTTCTGTCAGCTGCAATTATTAAGGTCTGATGTTCAATGTTCGAAACTAGAATTTGACCTTGTAGTATACTCTGCTACAAGCTGAGCAAAAGATGAAGACTTGTTTTCCAGCAGTCTTGCTGGAGAATCATACTCTTCAATGAGTCCTACCAGTTAAGAAAATTAAATCAATTAATATACACTATAATTCTGCACCTAGAGGGAAAAAATTGAAATTGACATAAAACCATTCATACCATGATTTAGAAGCAGAACCATGTCACTGTCTAGGACTGGAAGTTATCCGGTGTGCAATGGTTAAGACTGTACAGTCTGAAAAGTGTTGCCTTAGAGTTTGCTGAATCAGATTATCAGTAGCTGTGTCGACAGATGCAGTAGCTTCATCAAGCACTAAGACCTTACTTTTCTTCAGTAACACACACGGCCAAGACAAACGAGCTGTCTCTGTCCCACACTCCAATTTTCTCCATTCTCACTAACTGAAGCACCAGAAGTCAGAAGATAAGACAATATGGAGTCCGTTTAAACACTGGATTTGAGATCAAACTAGAACATTACAATAGGGGAGGGGTCCAAGGGGAGAAAAAGAGTCAAACCTGTAGAATCTAGTTTTCCTTCCTTCTTCCTAACTTCATCTCCAAGTTGGCACTTATCAAGAGCCTAATTCAATTAAAACTTGGTTTTAGCAACCATTGAACGTCAAATACCAATTAAAAAAATGCTTGTTACTAGGAGGAAAGGCTGCAAACTACAACTTCCTCCCCTTTCAAAATAAATCAAACTCACCTCCCAAACCTGTTCATCAGTGTATTCTCCAAGAGGATCCAGATTGCTCCTAACAGTCCCTTCAAACATTGTTGGATCCTGAGGAATGATGCTTAGTCTTGACCGCAAATCATGCAGTCCAATGGATGAGATGTTGACACCATCTATTATAATCTGGCCAGCTGCAGGTTCAACAATCCGGAAAAGTGTCTGTATAAGAGTTGATTTACCACTGCCTGTCCTCCCTACAATACCAGTTTTCAACCCTCCTGGAAAAGTGCATGTAAGGCCCCACAACACAAGTGGCATGTGTGAGGCATAACGGACCTAAATTGACACATCAAAATCAGTACTGCAATGATTGAGTAAAAATAACAAGCTGCAGAAACTATGAACTGATTACCTGTAGATCATGAATATCAATTTTTCCATGAGATGGCCAAGAATGAGCTGGGCGATTTGTTTCGATCACAAGAGGAGGCTCACTGGGAATGTTAGAATACTGAATTATTCTCTCAACTGATATAATTTTGTTCTCCAGATTGCACAGACTCCATATTATCATTGCTTGCAACATATTCAGATTCAGTCCGTATGTCACAGCTAGGCCAGCAATGCCTTGACAGGAGAAAACAGAATTGAGTTGTCTCACATGCCTTGACCATTCTTTATCAACATACATCAATAATCAATAGAACTACCAATCTGCAACAACATACCTGCATCAATAACTCCTGGAGGAATAGAGATTAGGAACACCAAAGAGAAGGCAAATGTAATAGAAGACAACATATCTAGGCGGAAGCAGAGCCATGCAATAGCACCAATAGTATGGAATACAGGCCGAGAAAATGAGTCACTTAGTTTCATGTTTTTCTCTCTGAATCTTGGTTCTTCATCAAAGCTCCTGATAGTCGTTGCTCCTGAAATCGTTTCAGAAAAATTTTGTATCACTGGAGATTTGCATACTCCAACCAACCTCGCAAGTTCTCGTGCTGAAGATATGTAATATTGCTGAAAAGTTAGAGGTTTATGATTACTATCATGCCAAGTACCATAATGCATGACATAATAAGTTGAATTGCAGTGAAATTGAGGCTGAATGTATTCTCAACTCTGGAACTTCGAAGCAAAAGGCAAGTATAGAAATGAACAACATAACCATCAACAACCTTGTGAAATATTAGCACAAATACGAAGATTTTCGTCCATGTGTCACCGGAGCTAACATTTTTTGCTCTTTCAGCATCAATTCAACCAATAATTTGAGCTAATGTAGTGCATTTTAATATTCAAAGAAATGAAATAAAATAAAGCATAAAGAACAATGACAGCAAAATAATAACTTGCTTTGGATAATTAAATGGTTTGGGCCATGATTGCAGCATCTCTTCTCATTAGCCAACAATATATAAATTTATTGGCAATGTCATTTGAACCAGATAGCAGAAAACATTATAATGGATCAAAAGTCTGGAGTTCAGAGACAAAAAATGTTGAAATTAATTTAAAAGTATCATTTGAGATAAAACTTAATAGTTGAGTTCAGAAGGACTACCTGATACCATACGGAGGTAGCAATCACAGGGATAAAAACAAAAAAGACTTGCCATGCAGCCTGAGACATCACTGCAATGATTCCAAGGAGCTGGATCATTGAGAAGGCGAGTGCACCTACTTGATTTGGAATGTTCAAATCTACTGTACTTTGATCTGTCAATGCCTATAACAAGGAAAGGATAGATTAAATTAATACAACTTCATATGGTTTAACAAAGACTAAGACTTACAGAGGAAATGTCAGGGAAATCATTAAATTTATATATTATGCCAATAAAGATTCAGTTGCTTACTCTGTTCAGTATATGCCCACTTGGAGTGGCATCAAAGAAAGACATGAGAGCACGGAAGATGCAATGATGCATTTTATTGAACAGTAGAGTTGCTGTTTTGTATCCAGCTGTATTAAGAAGCATGGCTCTAGCAAAGACACAAAAAGAACTTAAAATGGCCAAAGCAACATATACCATTATTAGTGTAGAGGCCTCAACTAAGGGCATTACATCCTCTGACACAGGAGTTGCCCAGGCCATCCAGTAATTGCTACCAATCTGAAGAACCTGAAAAAAAATCTGTGCCAGCAATATAAAGGGCACTAGAGCTCCTCCATATGCTGTTGTAATATACGTCCAGTAGATCGAAAACCCAACTCGACCTTTTTCTCGTTCTTCTTCTTGAACAAGCTGCTCCTTAGGCCCAACAATGTCAGCAGTTTTACCATTTTGAACGTCATTATTTTCTTCTTTCTGCATGTTTCTGATTGTGCTACTCACACCACCTTCTTTGTTCAAACTTACTCCTGCAGAAAGAGATCCCGCCTCAACTGAGTCCAGTGCTGACAAGGCTTTCTCATGTGCGCCTTCAAGCTCCATAAAATCAGTTCCAGAACTTAGAATGTCATTGTATTTTCCAGCTTGTGTAATCTCCCCGTCTTTCATGACCTAATACAGCGTGCAGTTAGTATCCCCATTATTTTGGTTCATTACATCAACAGCATGAAAGAAACCAGAAAAGTTTGCTCACCAAGATTAGATCAGCAGCAGGCAAGAACTCAACTTGATGAGTAACAAATATTACTGTTTTTGAACTCAACATGCTCAGCAGAACTTCCTATCATACAAATTAAAGACATAAACTTTATTAAAGCACTCATGAAACAAGTAGAAAAGTTTAGACCAAAAAAACTTCAAGATGAACATGATGTGCCATGATGTGCTTTTCATCTGTGGATATTCAATTATCTTTCACGCAGAAGTGATGGAATATGCTTAAACTAAGAGGTAAGTATGAAGGAAACTGTAAAAAGAAGATTTAAAGGATAAGTTTTTTCCACTGTAAGTGAGGACATTAGAAAAAGAAAATGTTACCTTAAATAAGTGAGATCCAGTATGAGCATCCACTGCACTAAAAGGATCATCAAATAGATAGATATCAGCATCTTGGTAGAGTGCACGTGCAATCTGTACTCTTTGCTTCTGTCCTCCACTCAATTGATTCCTCTCTCACCTATGACTGTCTGATCACCAAATGACAGGATTTCTAGGTCTTTTTTGAGGGAACAAGCTTCAAGCACCATCTCATACCTTTCCCTGTCCATCTCCTTACCAAACAATATGTTTTCTTCAATCTTTCCACTCTGTATCCAAGGTGATTGAGCAACATAGGCCTTTGTGACACACAACTTAAGAGTCCCAGATATTTTTGGTATCTCCCCCAATATACAAGAAAGTAAACTTGACTTGCCAGAGCCAACAGTACCACAAACAGCAACCCTCATACCATGGTGCACTTTCAAATTTATATCTTTCAAAGTTACACTTGGGGTAGATAAATCCCAGGAGAAATTCCCATCAATGATCTCAATTGCTGTATCAGAACTACCTCTTGGTAGCCTCTCTATAACATCAG